AAACTGACGTTATTTTTCATTAGTAGAAACACGCTTGCTATCTATGGATCGTTTAGTTCTTCAGTTATCTGAATCATACTGAGGGTTTTTCAAATGTTTAAAGGAGAACATTTGCTTTGTATTGCCAGTTATTATTTTTTGTGTGTCCGCATATTAGACTCATGCCAGTTTATTTCTTCTATTTTGGAATTATCTCTGTTCTTGCCGATTTAATCTTTTTTTTATGTTTTTAAACAATCTGAATCAAATTGAGGTTTTATGGAGAAATGAATAGGAGGACATTTGCTTTCATTGTACTGTTCTTATTTTGTGTATGCCTGCATGCTACTCTCGCGCCAGCTTATTTATTTGGCCAGATTTACCTGCTCTTTTTTTGTTTTTATTCGTTCATTAGTCGCCAGAGTCAACTTGAGGCGTGTTTGCAAGTCGAGTAGGGAACTCTTACAAGGACTAACCTTATTTTGTATATGTCCGCATGTTACTCTCGCGCCAGGTTACGCCTTGTCTTTTGGCCAGTTATCTCTGTTGTCACCGGTTTAAACTTTTTTTAACTTTCTAAGACAACTGAGTAAAACGTACCTTTTATGGGAAGTTGAATAGAAAAACATTTGCTTTCCATGGATTATCCTTATTTTTGCATGATACTCTCCTGCCAGATTATTTTTTTATATTTAGGCCCTAATCTATAATAATGATAATTAATCCATTTACGTTTTAGTGGTCCATTGGCCAACTTACTTCTTTTAATTAATTATTCTTTTTATGTAGGGTCTTGGTTAAGATAAAAAGCCAGTGTTACGAGCGGGATTCGAACCCACGACCTTCGGCTAAATATGCCGCTACTCTACCAGTTGAGTTATCGGGACTTGGATCCTCTCAGACACCAACTCTCCATCTTTACCTACAACCGTTCGAATTTTCCCTGTTTTTGAAATTTGCAAATGTCGTGTAATCATGATTGGATTCTCAGCGACTTATGAATCGGCCACGGGGAGCTGTTTAGTGAAGTAATACTTCATTTGCTTATTGAATATTAATCCATTTACGTTTTAGTGGTCAATTGACCAAGTTACTTTTTTGAATTATTTTTTTTTATTTAGAGTATTGGTTGAGATAAAAAACAATTGTGATTATACGACATTTGAAAATGGCAAATAGAGGGAAAATTCGAACGGTTGTAGGCTGAGATGGAGAGTTGGTGTCCCAGAGGATCGAAATCACGATAGCCCAAGTGGGTTAGAGCAGAGGTGTATTTAGCCGAAGGTCGTGGGTTCGAATCCCGCTCGAGACACTGATTTTTTTATCTCAACCAAGACCCTACATAAAAAGAATAATTAATAATAATAATCTATAATAATTTTTTTATTAGTACTTAAGTCATGAATGTCCGCGGTTACGATGGCCGAGTCGTTAGCCCAGCTCAATTCCCGTGTTAGTAACGATAGTTGCTCTGGGTTCGAATCCAGGAATAACCCATTTATTCTATTTGTTTCTCACTACTTTCAAATAGTATAGTAAAGTCAATTTGTAATTTTTGAGATTGAACTATATTTCTTTGGCTTGTTAGCGATTTTTTTTCAACTTCCTTAATTACTTTTATTATCATTTTGATTTACCACTTAATACTTGAAAACATCACGTATCACAGTAGATTGTTTCAGTGAATCGCAGTTAACCCATTAAAGAGTTTTGTTTTTACAGACGTTTTATCCATGGGGATCGTGAGCCGTACCGGTACTTGGTAGGACAACCGGTCATTTCCCATTATGAACGGCCGGGGTTCAGTCCTTTATTGCTTTATTATTAATAATAAAGCTTTTTGCCCACTCCCTCCGCAATCGGTTTAATGACATCGGCAGGTAAGCTACGTGATGAGACGTATTCAATTTGTTTCGAGTAAAAAGGGCCCGACTTTTCATTTCACGCGAGAGTGAAAATTAAATAAAGAAATGTCTCCGCTCCCACGGCGATCTGGGAGGTCCACCAGGGGACCGTTAATTAAAAATTAATGTCATAACTGCACACTGAGCCTGTTTATTTATTTCGGTGTGAATATTTCAATAAATATTCACTATGAGGATGTGCGATCGATTTAGATAAATTTCAGTAAAACGATTTTGAGAGACCTATTAATTATATTAATTAATTAATCTTTTTATGTAAGGTTTTGGTTGAAATGAAAAAGCTAGTACCACGAGCGGCATTCGAACCCACGACCTTCGGCTCTATACGCCGCTGCTCTAACCACTTGAGCTATCGTGATTTCGATCCACTCGGACACCAACTCCCCATCTCGAGTTTAATACAACCTTTCGAATTTTCCCTCCTTTTTGCAATTTTTTGGTGTCCGTATGGATCAAAGTCACGATAGTTCAAGGGATACAGCACGGCGTATTTAGCCGAAGGTCGTGGGTTCGAATCCTGCTCGTGGCACTAGCTTTTTCGTTTCAACCAAAACCTTACATAAAAAGATTAATTAATTGAAAGAAGTATTTTGGTCAATATACCACAAAATATAAGGGCGAAATATTAATCTTACCTTCACAGTATTTTTTTATGTCCGATTAACTCATTCGAGTCTAATGAAGTGATGTCAGGGTTATAAACAGGGAGACGCAAGAAACTGACTCGAACCGTTCCTGGAGTTCGGCCTATATCAAACACTTTAAGAACTAGGACGAGACCTTTCCGAATCCGCGGTACTGAAATTAGCAGTCCTTGCCTGCGTTTGAAGGTTTTAAATTCCTAGATATTCCACCGCGGTCATTATCTACTGCCACAAATATAGAAGATCTGGCCTTATTGAACAAAAGAGAAACACCTCCTCTGTTGATCAGGGCAAAATTCTTGCGAATTTCAAATAGCTATCCCAATTATAAAGTTTTTTTATACCGAGTGTGCAAAAATGAAATTGGTGTAGGGTGTGGGATATTTGCTGGTGAGTACAACTTCATCTGGTCTCTGCCGAATGAGGCTAGAATATACACTGCTGAACTTCATGCAATCGGAAAATCATTGAGCATTATAAAGAAATCGCAATTTATAATGCCATTATTTGCTCTTATTCGAAGAGTGGTCTCGAAACCAACAAAAATAATTTCTCAGTTGATCCATAAATTTTAGAAATTTACAAATCTCTCTATGAAATCAAAGCACTTAAGAAACAAGTGGTATTCGTTTGGGTTCCTAGTCATGTAGGCATTTCTGGAAATGAAAAAGGTGATCAACAGGAAAAGGAAACCTGCAACCATCCACAAAGAACAGATCAATTTCCTCTCTGCCCAGATGATAAAGTCGTTTATGTTAAAAACATTATCAAACGAAAAGTAGGCGGCAAGATGGAATGTCTGTAGAGTTAGTATGAAAGAAATTAAACCAGTTCTACATAAATGGCCAACTGAAGCACTTGAGAGAAAAAAACTTGTGATTCTAGATTGCGAATAGGTCATATCAGGCTAATCCGTGATAGGCTTTTAATAGGCAACAACCTTCCAACTTGTCCTCGATGTATGCTAAGTGGAGAACGTATCATTCTAACTGTGAAACATATTTTGGTTTTGTAACCCTTTAGGCAAAGGTCCAATCTTTCGAGTGATTTGAAGGAGTTACTGGGTCCTCAGTGTTTCTTCGAAGATCACTTTTCAGCTTTCTCAAATTTATTGGAATTTATAATGAGGCCTTTTCCCCAAATTGTTATAACATTGAATGTTTGTCTTCTAGTTTTCGAATGAGAGTTGTGAGGGCAAGATTTATTTCTTTTTCAGGAATTTTTGAGACTCCGGACAGGAAAAATGAAATAGAAGAAAATACAAATTGCGGGGGTAATAAATAAACTGCATGATTAAAATCGCAACTTAAATACGAAAGATAGCTACCTCCAAAACAAAACAAAAAAGAGGATGATAAAGAAAAAGGAGTGTTATTGTGTTTTTATTTCTTATTATTGTTAAGTAGCATTAGTTTATTTACCATATTTGAATGAAAGAATAAAAGGATAACGATGAGCCTATACTCATGCTGACACTGTTGCTAGTCTGACTCCATTATTATTATTATTATTGGTTATACAAGCCTATGGGAAATATTTAAATTGTAGAACAAAAATTCGAAATTCTAATTAAAAACAGAAATAAATATAATTTAAAATGAGATTCTTGCATACATTTGGCCTTACAAATTAAGAATTTTAAAAGGATAAATTAAAGCTTTGATGGCAATAGGATAGATTAGTTTATGAGTAAATCTTCGGAGCTTTATAGCACTCAGAAGGGATATAGCTAACCTAAGATAGAACTTTTTATGCAAGTCTATTAGGTTTCGTGGTCCGATTGACCAAATAAATTCTTTTCAATTATTAATCTTTAATTAAGGTTTTGGTTGAGATAAAAAAATCCAGTGTCACGAGCGGGATTCGAACCCACGTCCTTCGGCTAAATACGCCGCTGCTCTACCACTTGAGCTATTGTGACTTCGATCCACTTGGACACCAACCTCCCATCCCAACACCACCTTTTGATTTTTCCCTCCTTTTTGCCATTTTTCAAATGTCGTGTGGTCAGGATACGATTCGCGGCGACAAATGAAATGGCCACGGAGAACTTTAGTGAAGTTTATTTCATTTTGCTTATTACATCTATTAGGTTTCGTGGTCCGATTGACCAAAAAAATTCTTTTCAATTAATTAATCTTTAATTGAGATTTTGGTTGAGATAAAGTCAGTGTCACAAGCGGCAAACCCACTAATCCCTGACCTTAAAACGTGCAGCATGCAGATGTATAAAGAAAAAAATAATTATGCATACATGTGATATCAATGACATCTAGATGGAATTTTGTAAATGAAAGAGGGATTGGATCAAGGCTTGAGAAATTCGGGTAAAAATTTCTCGTTTAAATTTTTTTTGATACCTTTTTCGATTGTTGAGTAATTAATTTTGGTTTGTTGTTAAATCAGTTGTGCAAAACATAGTTTCTAGATTTTTTTAACTCAAAGGAACTGTTTTTCGAAAATGTATCATTCTTCTCTTTATCGATTATTTCTATGTAGTCTCGTTGTTTTAAACATATGAATAAATAAGGAGGTTGCAAAATAAAAACAAATATTGGGTTTATTCATTTGAACATAACTTATAAAACTCGCGAATGTCTAAGGTGTAATGTAAAAAAACCTATATACATCAGTTCTATTTATAAGCCCCAGCACATGCACGGTTCGGATCTCAAAGATGTTTTTCGCTCAAGTCCCAGCCAGGTCGGGAACGGTACAGAGGTAGTAGGAAGAAGGAGAGACGAAGCTCATTTTTTGCGCGGACGATGAACTTTTCTCTCATGGCGAGACGACAAAGCGGGCCAGATTGGAGAGCTTTTGTTCGAGGGAACAGCCGGCCGGTGAAGAAGGCCGGTCACTTTGAGATCCGAAAGCAGCAGCAACGCGAAGTGTTGTCGAATTCGTCGTCCGAGTCGTCGTCGTCGATCTTGGTCCGGAGGAAACTCGGCTGAGGGTTGCCCTGGAAGACGTCGCTCCAGGAAGAGTTCATCGTCGTCTTCGGGCCGCTGATCGTCGACCAGGAGGTCTCTTCTTTGCTGCTCGAACGACTCCTGGTGATACGGCGTCGCGGTGATCGTTCCGGGATGTATGGCACCACCGTCGGCTGTTCCTCCTTCCAGGACACTCTCTTCGCAGAGCCGCCTGTAAATTTTCTGAATAAATTGGAATCTAACCTGTTTACTTTACACTTCTTTATGTCCAACAAAATAAACTTTCAAAATAAAACTAAATTATTATTGTGAGATTTTCTTTTGTGTTCGGCGGATTGGTGACCTAAAGTTTGGAAATTTCTGATCACTTTTTTCTGCCTATTGCATTGGTCTCCCTGACAGACTTTGCTTTCTCGCCATCTTTCTCTCTTAACAAACACGGAGAACATAAGCAAACCTTAAAGACTGAGCCGACCAAATTACAGGTTTACTGCACAGTAGTCGCACGAGGAATTCTTACAATGATTCATTATTGTCCATAGGACTCCTCTAGGCTCTTAGATATTAACCCCTCGTTTAATGAGAAAACCGATCGCTTTTCAGGTCAGGGTTATAAATAAGGAGCGGCATATCTTGAACATTAGGAGAAACCGAAACGACTAGTGGCTCCAAGAAGAAATACACTAAATTGACTCAAACCATCCATGCTGACACAAAGTGGAGATCATTCACCGACCCAGCAGACCACCTAAGAGGAAAACTCACAATGATTCATTTTGGGGTCACTTTTAGTTATTCGCCATTTTAAGTTTTAAACTGATATTGTGTGTTAACCAAAAAGGAGAAGTTAGATCAATTTGGATCTACAAAACTAAAGCTTCGCCTAGCAGTTCTTAATTCTTCAATCTTGCCTATTAATTATGTCTGCTCAACTGTCATTTGCGTTTCGCCATCTCGCAATCTTCAGTGGTAGCTTTCTTTGTTATTAACCACTAATTTTATTAGAAAATTGAAAGCTTTTCATGAAAGGTGTACAAATAGGGAGAGGCTTATCGTGAACATTGGGAGATGACAAAACGAGTCTGACCGCTGACCCAAGAGAAATCAAACTATCGATAACCTTAAACCTATACTCACACAAAATGGAGCTGATACACCAAAACAGCAAGTTTAAGCAGATCAAAAGGATCGGAAACTAAACTTCAGGTTAATCATTCAGTAGATTCCAACATGATACATCACCATTTTATTTTGGTCTGCTTATCGCGGCGGCATTGGTCTATCAGATGCTGTTTGGCTTCTCACCATTTTCATTGCCACCAAAATACAGCTACACAGCAGATCCCAAGAGGAAATTTCAAAAAGTTTCATGTCAGTCAGTAAGAAGTATTTCGCATTCTCGCCATCTTCATTGGTAGTTTTATATGTTTTCAATTCTGTCCATTTTTATGAGGAAGTTGACGGTTTTCAAATTTCAGATATAATAGAAAGAAGTAGTGCCTAAATATGGCGAGAAGTAAAAACGCTCATGATTTACCTAATAGCCAGAATATAGTGTTTGGTTAGGGTTTAAGTACAGGCGCGAGTTGACGATGGCGAGAAGCTGAAACTATTCTGTTAGACCAAAACAACTTAGATTTAGGCAGTTTAGTCTTTGTTATAAGTTTTAAACTGATATTGTGTGTTAACCAAAAAGAAGAAGATAGATCAATTTGGATCTACAAAACTAAAGCTTCGCCTAGCAGTTCTTAATTCTTCAATCTTGCCTACTATTTTTGTCTGCTCAACTGTCATATGCGTTTCGCCATCTCGCAATCTTCAGTGGTAGCTTTCTTTGTTATTAACTCCTAATTTTATTAGAAAATTGAAAGCTTTTCATGAGTTTTGGAAAGACGCAATCCGATGATGGCGAGAAGCCGAAACTAGTCTATTCAATGATAAATAATCGTAAATGATCAAAATGCACGTTCGTCACTGCATAGACCTCAAGAAGAAACCTCAGAAAATTCCAGATTGGTCTGCTTCATCTTGCTGTTTTGGTCACTACCAATTTTTAGCCCTGTCTTTAAAGCATTGCATTCTTTTTTAATTAAAATAATTGAAAGTTAGGGGGCGTCGGTGGCCGCAACGGTTTAGGCGTTGACACGGCGCTCACCACTGTAAGGTAAAGGTCCGCTGGATTCGAACCCGATACTTACAATTTTTTTTTTTTCAAAAACACCGGCACCCCGAGGGTTGATATGATCTCTGCTGTGGCGAATCTTCATTAAAAAAAAGAAAAAAAAGGAAAGTCGTCTGTTTATAAGTAAGGGTTATAAGTGGGAGAAGTTCGAAGCCAAAGGTACGAAAGGATAAAACTTAAGAATCAGTAAGTGGAAAAGTACAATCTGACATTAGATGTCGACCGTCCACTTGACAATTTGCCAAATCAATTAATTCAAACCACCAACACCAATAGAGATGATAGTTTAAAACAACAAGGATAGAAGTAGTGTGTGGTTGGGTTATAAGTAGGCAAAGGCACAACCTGTATGAGGAGGAACACAAATGTCCCTGGCAGGCCAATGCTACAGCTACCATTATTTGCAAATTTTCTTGCTTCCAAGAAAATTTTCGTTTCACTGTAACTCGTTATCTGGCCATCTTAATCACACAATTATGTACAGAAGAGTACTGAAAACGTAAAAGGTAAACGTAACGAAAATAGACCCAAAAAATTTAAGTTGATCTGTTCAAATTTTCATCCACTCGCAAACCTTCCAGCACGTCTGCATTGAACTGAACGTCACTTGATTACTTCACTGTGTACGCCTACTCTGGCTGGTTGTTTTGCGATCAAAGGTCAAACAGTTCAGCATGTATCCATCCACTCACAGACTAACCTAACTGTATACAATAATTTGTCTTACCTTCCTTCAAAGACTTCCTGTACATCGCTGGAAAAGAAGCAAGGGTTAAAAAGAAAGTCTTTAAATAAAACAACTACAACAAAAAAAGACCTTCGTCTTTGACTCTTTTGTTCAAAGTCGACTCTTCTGAAACTTTGGCTTTAGACGCGGGGATTAAAATCTCTGTAAAATCGTCAGGACTCGTCTCATCATCTGCAATAAAAAAGATCGGTTTTATTTGAGTGTTTTTTCCCTTTAACATTATCTGTTTTACCAGGTTTAGAAGGGTAAAGATGAAAATCTGAAAATTCAAAAAGTATAATTTATCGCCGTTAAAAAATAATTTAACTAATTTGTTAACTAAATGTGTTACCGTGTTTAGAAGGTGCTTCCGGACCTCCTGAAAGCATCGAATGATTTTATCTTTATTTAATTGGACAGTAATTAATGTAATAAAGGGACAAAATCTTACTATCCAGTTTTCCCAAGGACACGAACTCTGACAAAAATAACAGATAATAATGTATGTAAATAAGCAAAAATCACAAAGTAATGTAGAATATTGACATCATCATGACAATATAAATATAATAAAACTTTACAAATACGAAAAATGAAATATTTTATAAATACCCACCTCTGGGTGATAACAGCGAACTCGGTGTCCTCTCACCTTAAACAAAAGTGTATATTTTGTGAGCGAAAGAATAACCTACAAAATTCTGTTTAAAATGATCTCGCAGCCAAAAATCTAATTTCGAACAGTAAATGATTTAAAAAAATTAAAAGTCACTTGAATCACTAAAATTTAAAATAATCAATTTAGAATACTGCTAAAGATGTTCATTACGTTGGACAAAATATCACACTAAGAGCCTGGAATAATGGAAATTTATTTGGCCTGTACAAATTAAAATTCCATTTATTCATTTGCACCTGAAAGTACAGAACCGGAATAATTACCTCCCAGGACAATGGGCCAACACTTTCTTGCAGTCCCATTCATTACAATTTAGATTCTGTTAATTAAAATGGATAATTAAATTGCTTAATTAATTTACACGTCTGCCATCATTGAAACTGGTTCATCCATCAAGAAAGTTAAAAAAGGCTGTTTCCATTGGCCTAATTAATCAACATTTCTGTCAATTACACTAAGCAAATTGAATAAAACGTTTGGTCAGTTTTCCTATTTTCATCCGGCATAAACGGCAGATTTTAAAGAAATGAGAATGTAACATGCGGACGTACACTCAAGAGCTTATCGGAAAGAGCGAAAGTGATTGATTGATTGATAGTTTTATTTAATCACGTAAAGTTAGGTCTCTTGGACCTTTTTTTACACCTAGCGTGAGTTCTACAGTTTACATTATACATTCATTATTTATTTAGTATCCTTTAGACTTTACAATGTATTTTACAATTATAATTTATAATGAAGGGAAAAATTCTTTTGTTTCGTTTTTTTAATAATAATTTGACAATATAATTTTTTATATGCTGATTTTTTCTTTTTGTTGTGATTTTATAAATTTATATGACATATGTATCAACAAACGAAAAACAAAACGTAAAATAAAAACAAACAAAAAAAGATACTTTGTGTTATTTGCATAAGTCAGTCTTTTATTATTATTATCATTGAGAATACTTTTGTGAATAAGTAACAAACAAAAAAAACAGAAAACAAAACATTAAAGAAAAAACAAGTCTTACATACAAATTATAAGACAATATATATAAATGGTAATGTTTGACAAACGCAAAACTACGATACAAAAACTTTAATCATTAATTCATTATATTTAGTAGACAAATGACCAAATTACTTCTTTCAATTAATTAATCTTTTTTTATCGTGCATTCTTATTTACAAAGATTTATTATAATTATTCAAAAATCGTGAGATGCAGTCTGGTGTGATATAGGTTTCAGAAAAACAAGTAATTCAAATGGGGTAATTCAAAAAGCTTTTAGTCCTAGCAGATTTTTGATATTACATTTAAATCTTTATTTATATATTAATATTGAAACGAATTGTGCCCAATTTTGAACTTTTTTGTAACTCAAGGGAGCCCAAAGCTCAGAATAAAAATTTATTTTCTTTTTCTACTTCTTTTTAACCCAACCCTACCGAACTAAACCTAACTCATACGCACACACGTTCTCGCAAAAACCAACATTTCATTACGGGGGGGCGGAACAAGAAAGAGAGAAACCGAGAGAGAGAGAGAGAGAGAGAGAGAGAGAGAGAGAGAGAGAGAGTGNTACGGGGGGGCGGAACAAGCAAGAGAGAAACCGAGAGAGAGAGAGAGCGTGAGAGAGAGAGAGAGAGAGAGAGAGCGAAAAAGGGAGACATTTTCACAATGCTTGTAGAAGACGTTTGATATTACAATAAAACTTTTATTCATTTAACAAACAAAAATAAGTCCGAATAGCTATATATAAATATATAGATCGAACAAATATTTAAAATATTTATATATATAATCGAATATAATTTCTGAACATAAAATTCAATGGGAACGAACACATTCATAAATTTTCTACTGTTTAACATTTGTTGTATTTCCCGTTGCTTAGAATTTTATGATTTCATCAAGGAAGGATATATGAAGAAGATATGAAGGTAAATGGTAAATTGTAAAATAGTTTTAACGTTAATACATTGTTCAAACTGCTATTTCAATTTCATGTTTATAACAAGTATAATTTTCATCATCCCATTTTTCTACCAGTAGACATACTATACAGGTAAGTATAGAAGCTTAACAGATCGCTAATTTCTAAAAAATAATGAAAAATGAACTAACAAAAACGTTATATTTTTACTTATGTACAAATAAAGAGATATGTAGTAGTACATATTTCTCATTGTGTGTCCGCATGTTATTCTCGTATTATTATTATTCGTAAGTGTAGAGCTATCAGAACTTCTATGAGTTTATATCAGTCGAAAAATCAAAAACATGCAAACTCATTTCAACAAATTAATTTTGAGACTACGTGTGCGAATTGTTTTATTTTACACTATGATAATATAAACGAATAAATTGGCTAGGATTTGTTTTAATCATAAAAAATACTTACCGCTCGAAGATCTTCCATCAGCTGTAAAGAAGAACAAATTATTAGGATTTATGATTATTTGGAGATCGTGAGATGCAGTCTGGTGTAACATAGGTTTTAGAAAATTTATCATGTCAACATTTCGATTTTTATTGAGATCGTCTTCATGGCCTGGGATTTATAAACATTATTTAAATTATACAAATACATGTAGGATATGAAAAACTGAATTTATACAATGCTAGAAATTTTATTACTTTTATAGTATTGTATAAATTTATTTGTTCATATCCTACATGTATTTGTATAATTAAACAATGTTTATAAATCTCACGACCTGAAGATGATCACAATAAAGGTCGAAACGTTGGCACGATAAAGAAAATGTTTTTCTAAAACCTACGTCACACCGAACCGAACCTCACGATCTCCAAATAATCAGTAACTAACGGTCACTAAACACAACAATAATTGTTAAATATTAAATTATAATCCACTAAAATATAATCTAACAAATAATTAAACGGTCAACCGATAAATATATGTGGATTAATTATTTAATAAGTTTATTGACCTAAATCTTATATTTTTATTTAAATATCCATTAAAAAACTGCAAGAATTTATTAAAATTAACGAGGGTGGGTACGTTTTTTTCCGCTCTGTATATAATAATTTTGAAATGCATGCATAATAAAGGTATATAACCTATAAATATTAAAAAATAAAGATATATTAAAAAAATAAAGATAGATAGATTTCAGCTCCAAGGGCCCCATTAGGATGAACGCTGGAAAAAGTGTCTACTATATTTAACGAAAAATTGCTGAAAAAAGTTTCTTTCAAATTGGTTTTCACATGTAGCCTAGCCTTGTTAGTCAAATTGATCTTTTTTAAAAATCAAAATGCACTTATATAAAAATCTGCCCTTTCTCATTCTTCCAAAATTCAAACCTTTTATTTATTTTAATGTGTAAATATTGCTTTATTAATTTTTTTATATTTATACCAGAAAGGTATAATCTATACGGGAAAATGGTTAATTTGTAAGAAAGAAATATTTACTTTTATAGTCCGGCGGTGTTTCGGGTTTGTCTGTAAAATCTGAAACATTCGGCTTGTATAAATAACTGAGAGGAAGCGGGTTCAAAAGTTTCAAATACCTTTTTTAAATGAAGGCTTCTCTTCTCCTGAACAAACAAACGACCAGCATTTAACGGATGAAATAAAAGATTATTCCTGAATAATTTTATAAAATAGGAAGATACACCAACCTGCTTTTTCCATTCCTATAGACTCTGGAAACATCAAACACTGATTAAAATATATTTTTATTTGTTATTGTGAAAGTTTGAAATTAGTTTAACTCACCTTGGTGATTTTTTTGCCTCGTCTGAGATATCGATTCTGCAGGGGTCAAAATCGTTAAAATCAAAATCGAAATAATATATTTAGAAATACTCACCTAATTTTTCAGTTTTCCCTTCTCTCGTTTCGATTTTTAAGATTGATCCGTAGGATTCCACGTGTGAAAGGGGGTTGACTTTTTCGGAGATCATTTCTTGTTCTGTCAGTTGGATTTTGGCTGATTTTGATTCCTGTGGCTGCGGTGTCTCTAATTTGAAAGGGATAGAATTTTTTCATTCAAATAATTTAAAGTATAAAGAAAAAGTTTGCCCTTTACCGTTTCCTGCACGCTGAAGATAACTGACACCTAAAAAAAAAAAAAAATCATAATTGAACAATATAAAATAACGGAAAATTTTACTCACTGTTCATCAATCTCGAGTTTCGATTTGGGATTTCATCTGTTAACACATACACATACTCATATATATAACATAAATTTTATTAACAATAAAAGTTAAATTTCCTGCTCACCGGTTCGCGAAGAAGTCTCGACTGGAGTCGATGGATCTAAAACAGTTGTACAGTATAATAGGTAGTAAAAACATGTTTAATTTGTCAAATATTAAAAAAAATTAAAAGTACGGAAGGTTGTTTGGGAAAGACATACATTCCTACCTTTATTGCTTTCAATTTTACTGGCGTTCGTCATGATGTGCATCATTGCTTCGTCAGCTGGAAAAAAGAAATGCAGAACATAGAAGCAAATCATGACGGAATATTTGATGAATATTTTATAAGAAAAATGGAAACTTCAATTCGTGTAATTGAGAAATTTTCGAAAAAGTATTTCAACAAAGCGAAGGCCAAAATTGGTTGACATGGCCAAACGAGAAGAGGAGTTTTCTGATACGCATGCTCGCTTCTTATAAAGGCTCACAATTTGAATTGAGATATTTTAGTAAACATATTAGAACTTTATCAAAGGGCAAAACTTGTCGTCATGGTCGATCTAGAAAATAAATTTTCTGATACGCATGCACGCTCCTCATAAAGATTCACAATTGGAATCGAGAAATTTTTGTATAATTCGACTTTATCAAAGGCAGAAACTAGTTAGCCAAACAATAAGAGAAATGTCCTCTTGGGCTACAAATGCACGCTTCCTATAAAGACTCGCGATTTTAATTGAACAAATTTAGTCAACATGTACCAAATGTATTGAAGATCAAAAGTGGTTAATATGGCAAAAATGAATGAAACATTTTCTGGTGGGCATGCCCGCTTCCTATAAAGACTCACGACTTGAGTTGAGAAATTTCATTATATTAAAACTTTCTTGAACGCCAAAACTGGTTAACCAAACTAGAAGAGAAATGTGCAGTGCTACGCTTCATATAAAGACAAATTATTAAGAATTTAATTCTTCTGTAAATTTATTTCTTCGAAGTTCATATGTGAGGTTAACTTGGGCAATGTGAATTAAATCCGATTTTCGATTTTCAAGTACTAAGGAGATTTTCGGAAGTTCTGCGTATAATTGATGTGAAAGCTCCTTATAAAAACCCGTGATTTTGGATCAAGGGATTATTTGTAAAAATAACCATGCTCTAAGTACCGCCCGAAGGTTATGTGTTATGCACTGCTTCCCAACCTGCAGTTGGCCTCCTCCAGTGCTACCTTATCGCCTTAACCGGTAGGGACTTGGTCCACCATTGTACACCCTCGTTCTTTTGCCTGTTTTGTTTGGTGGTGACTCCATGGGTCATTGGACAAGGATACTCCTATCTAAGACCTCTGTGGAAAATAAAATGTGTAACCCCTAGGAGAATTGATGGATAACTCCTCCAGTTTATACCATCGCCACTCCACCCTCAGCTTAGCTTTTACATGGCACATCTCTTGGAAGATTGTTTTTATATATGACATGTTGATCTAACTACACCCTAAAGTGTAGCGGTGAAAGGTTAAAAGAGTTGACATTCTCAGGCTTTAGTGGCACTTGGAGAAACTTAGTCTTTGAGAATTACAAAGTACCTACTCTTAGATTGCAAGTTCTTGGTCCACCACACTACTGACCCACATTTCTACATGGATTCGATGACCTAGCCTTTATTTTGACATTGAATCACCAGCTTTTTGCCACTGGGCATCTGCACCTCCTCTAGGCAATGCATAATATTGTTTAGATGCTTATTTCATGCGAGGCGTGGGTCTACGATGACCCAAAAATATTTGATCTCTGTCAAAAATAAAACGGTAAATTGTTCAGGCTTGGGAGTTTAGGCCTTGTGCCATTATTCTGTAAACAGTACAGTTGTAGTCTTGTCAAGTTTACATCATCAAAACCCCACCCTCAGCTGTAGCTGTTCATTAACATGGCATAATCTTGTGAATGGTTGTCACTGTAAGAGCCTATGAGCAGTTGTAATAGGTTCTTCTTGAATGAGCATGCGTAACGTTGGAAGGTTGAGTAATATTTCCAAATTTGAAGTTGGTATAGACGTCATAGCTCCAGTGACACTTGGACAACCTTTGTCCTTTGTGTGCACTAAGTAGCTTGATTGTTTTAGCCTGCAAGGTCTTGTCCATCGCACTACTCGTCTTATGTCAAAATTAGTCTGATGATGCAGGTGTCCGGCGTTTAAAGGCACCGAGCGTTCTGCACATTCTGCAAACACTCTTGCTGTTTTTTAGGCGCTGGTTTCATATGTCTCGTGAGCCTAGGTGGACTCCAAAATATATAGACCTCAAGACACATTAGATCGACTATACATCTGTGGAAAATGGAATCTCTACCCCGTTTTGTCTTGGGAGTTTAATACTTCTTGTGTGCCTTGAGATTTCATTATATTTTATTAGTTTTCTAATACTTATTAAGCAAAATAAATAATTACTACAATTGGAAAAAATGTGTTTTTTGCCGTTTTGCTCAAATGATAACATTTCGCGCGGCTTTCAGAATGGGCGTAAATAATTAATTTCCGACGGAGTTCACTCGGATCGAATCGGTTCCCGCTCTTACATCTGTACTTAAATAAATTTTAATTGAAAAAGTGGTCGTAAAGGATAACTGCCGGGGCACCGCACCGGCAAACAAAATTGGGTAATAATTAAATCTCGAAAATAATATGAGGAAAGAATAGTTAAAACAGTTTACCTGCAAGTTCCAAGTTTGGATTTTCATCTGTAAAAACATATTATAAAAAATACATTTTCTTCCTTGAATAGTCATATTGTATACGTACATAAAGCAGCTTCGCTGGACTCTGAAATTAAACGGATTATTAAGTTGAATCAAATTCGTATTTATATGATTAACTGACATTTCATAATTTTTTTAACCTGGGTTCTTGAACGATGTACGAGCTACGACTTCTCGACCTAAACCGTGAAAAGCAATCCTTTTTTTATATTTGGATATAATTCGACTATTAAATACAGACCTTCTGGGGCTTTGTCACGTTTCTGGTGAACACGAGGAACTAAAAACAAAAATTAAAATGAAGTTAAAAGTACGAAGTCTTGAGTTTTCATAAAAACTTACTGACGTAACTTGCAGTCCATTCGATGTAAGGTTCATCTAAAATAAATAAAATTGTTTTTTCGAGTAAGTAAATATTTCAAAAATCCCCATATTATTTACCTGCTTTGAGGGACGCCTTCGAAGCTTAAAAATAAAAATCAGATTAACAACGAATTTATTCTACATTTGGCCTCGTCAGAGAGATTTTGCATAACGTTTCCGCTATTTCACGGTCACCGTTATATTTAACTTCTTTTAAACGTTGACGCGATTTGGAAACCTTTTACATAAGGGATTTTGCCGCTAACGCTAAATTTCATTGATTTGGATTTGAATTTATATAGGCTGAAATCCGCTTATGTATGTAACATAAAACTAACTTAATTGAGGGTTGAAGGAGTACTCAGTATTCTGCCATCTCACCCTAGTAAATACATTCACTCTCAATACAAGCCAGGGAAACAAAACCATATACAATAATACAATCAGGTTTCTTCCAACAATCAGAACAGGGGACCCAATAACTTCTAGTCATGCTCAAGCATAAATTTCAAATCCGTGGGATTCCTACGCGCTCTCTATATAGAGCCAAGGAATTGTACTGTAAGTGGGACTCATGGAGCAATCTTTCTCTGCATGCTGGACACGTAAACGGGCTTTGGCCAAAATGTAAGTGTTCGTGTGTCAACCTCGAATGGCCTATCCTTAATCGGGTGACGATGACCCTTCTACTACGAGTCAGATCCTCCGAGGGCCGCCCATCGACAGTGCTATTGATAGATGAGAGCTTCACTCGACCTGGCCTGTTGAGACTGCACATTCTTTTAATTATGTTTTTATTGCATTTCTAGCTGACATTCCTGCTTGTATGTAAATAAAACAGCTAAATATTTTAATGTTAAAACACCAAATATACATAAATTCATAGTAGTTGGGATTCATGAAAACTTGTACGAATTGTGAAGTATTAGTTACAAAATAAACAATTTTATTATATTCCTGTATATTTTTTAATTAAAAAATACTACAACAAAAAACTACTTTGTTGACTTAACCGTCAGCTGTTAACTAGCACGCTATTCTAAGTCAACATAGGACGCAATTTCAGCTAGCGTTCCGTTTAACGTACGCATGCGCACTTCAATAAATTTAGCGTTCACGCTAACGTTATGCAAAATCTTCCTATTATTTACCTACCTCCTGGATACATTTTTTTCATGAGCTTCTCATGAAAACCTTCATCCGCTGGAAAAATCACAACAATCAGCTATAATTCCAAAGACAAACCTTTGTTAACGTACAATCGCTGCTGTTTCTCCCCTCTTCGACCTTCATTGTATTTTCTATTTTGTAAAATGAAAAATCAATAGAATTTTATAGTTAGGGCCGAGTAAGGTAATTTTCACTTGCCTGTTAGAAGCGCGCCGTCCATTTCTTATCACCTCGATGGCTCACCTAAGAGCAGAACAATTGATCAATCAGTTACATAATATTTATTTTTAAAAATTAATTAACAACTAGGTTTTTTAAATATTGTTTGAAACTCCCTGAAATAATGGAAACAAAAGCAATGTACTTTCCTAGACATATCAAGTCTACGCTAAGTTAACCAATGTAAAAATATGGCATTTCTTAAAATTCTCCTAGCCATTTTTTAAAATTGTCACATACCACGTACTTATAATGGAAATGTTTACGAAAGTATCACAAAGAAATATGTTAGATTGAAAAATGAAGGTTGTAAAAATAAAATTTTACCAAGGCGGTTTTAAACAAATAATCCAACAGCTTTGCTTTTATACTTATCATTCGCATTAATATGTTGAAAATCTCAAAATTTCTTATATATTCAAACATCATGAGTAAAATCACATGGACAATGAAAAACAACCAACTTAAATGCACTTGAAACCCCGCTAATCCTTCCTTCATTATATAAATATTTATATAAAGAGAAGAAAGAATGAAGAAGAAAGAATCAGATGTTTTCTCAGATGCCAGTGACCGGTTAGTAGTCACTATTCTGAGTTTAGCCCTCTCCATTTAAACTCCAAAAACAATCAGGATAAGCTAAACTCTTCGAAACAATAAATTAAATCAGTAATAATAATAAAAATGAAATCAACGAGCAATAAAATCAAATCCCATCTCTTAGTAATGGAGATTGACTAATAATTTCTGTAAACTCTCTTTAATATGGGATGGTATGGTGAGAAAATACTAGGAAGCAGGGTTTGTACTCCTCAGGAACTGCAGCCTTCTGGCTTATTGTACCTTCCTAGTTCCTTAGTTCAGTGCAATAGACTCTATCCTTCTCCTTAGAAGTATCATGTCATTGAATGTCGCTGCTACAATTTCATTCCCTTAGTTTTTTCCTATGTTAGGTTGAATCTCCATTGAGCTGTTGCTTCACAGTCGAAGATGATATGGGTGGCTGTTTCCTCCTCCTCATTACATAATCTGCAAATGAGGTCTTCGTTGAATATACCCATGTTATGTAGATGTTTGCTCAGATGCCAGTGACCGGTTAGTAGTCCTATCTCTGAGTTTAGCCCTCTCCAGTTGCAGCAGTGATTTTGCCAGTCTTGGTGGGTTTGTTTCATGGAAACTCTCTTTACAACATCATATAAAGTTTTACCAGATTATAAAGGAGAAGCAGAATTTAGTAAAACATCAGATACAATGGTATGATATTCAGATGGCTCCAAAACACATCAAAGAACCGAGTCAGTTTTTTGAACAAGCCCAAAACATGAGAAATCAAAATCATTAGGGAAGCTTGATGTTTCAAGCTGAAACACATGACATCAACGCTTATACCTTGGAAAATTTTGAAAGAGGTTAAACTGACAAATAAATGCTTTTAAGATCGAGGCAAGCATCTATTAAAGCATTAGCATGTAAAATTTAGTCACTGGATGTATCCAAACCTGGATGATGTCTTGAGTACCAGGACAAAAAGGAATCTTGAGTAACAAAACAGCAGACACACTGGCAAGAGGAGGATGTCCAAATCCACAACCAATTTTTGCGATAACAAAACCAGAATCCTCCATCACAGAATGAATCCAAAAAAGACAAAAGAAGTAGTAGGTAAACTCTAGACATAGAAACTTCTGCTAAAACAACCCTCACCAAGACGGGCAAATTCATTTCTACAGTTGGAAAGGGCTAAAATCAGGTGGGATTATTTACTGGTCACGGGCATCTGAGAAAACATCTACACGACATGTGCATACTCAATAATGATCCCTTTTGTAGATTATGCATTGGAGAGGAAGAAATAGCTACGCATGACATCTTCTAATATAAAGCAACCGCTCAATAGAGACATAACCTAGGATACAAAGAAAACCCAGGGAAAGGAATGGTAGCAATGACAGTCAATGACCTAGCACTCCTTAAGAGAAGGATCCCGTCGATTGAATGAACTAAGAAAGTTCAATAAGACAAAAGCCTGCAGTGCTTGGAGAATATAAACCCACACTTCCTATCTCATCATTATCAGGAGAGTAACATTTTTAACATAACAATTTAATTAACACGAAACAATTCTTGCGTGAACTGCCTAAATATTGTTTATACAAACAATTATTAGCAATAAAAAAATAGCCAGTTATGAGCAGAAATACATTTCATCAATATTCACCCGACAGGGCAGGTTCAGAAATCAATTTTTTCGAGTAGAACCGCTCAAAGTAAATAATCTCCGTTGAAAGGTGGGTGTTTGCGGTTTTGGTATCAGTGGAATATGATTTATGACATTTCATGATGGGCATTTATGCGGGTTTTTAATGCCTGCTGGAAATCGTTGATTGATATACGGTGATGCCGGTTTGAAATTGCACTTTACGACTCGGATCGACTTGGTTTTATTTCCCTTTCTGAAATTTGAAGTCTATTTCCATGTTGTAATGCAATTGATTACTTTCGCATTAGAACGATAGTTTTTACCTTCTTGGTCCGCCCGCTCTCGCGGTAATTCACAATTTTATGATAATGAAATTTATAACTTAACAATCCCAATATAAAGCTATTTAGCGATACGGCTAAATAAAATGAATTCCAAATTATATGCCCTAATAGAAACCGCAAAAAAGATACATGATTGCAGAAGCGTGCTGGTTGCGATTTCATGAGTGTTGGCTTGGTTTTGTCTTAATTATTTTATCCTGTAATCTGACCCGTGTTAATTTGAATAATGAAACAGGAAATAGCATGTCAATAGTCGTCCTGGTCCACCTGTTCTTGCTATCTTTGACAATTCAAAAGGTTTTTTTTCTCCATTGATTTAATAAACCTGTCAAACCGTTGATTATAACACACTATTATTACTCTATTAAAGTTGAATCTGAAATATAGGAAGTATGTTCGTAGGGCTCGATCTTCTTCAATAATATCACAGGGTGCAGCTGTTCTTTTAGCCGGCTCTCTTCTATATTCGGGTTTCATAAAGTTATCTGTTATCCTTTGGTCCCAATCATGTTATGGATTTTTTTTTAACAGTTATGTTGCTCCTTTTTGGCACGCCTGACAATTGTATGACACAAACCGCTTCGGCGGTACATATACTAAAATTGGAACGATGACACAAATCTAGATTGGTTCAAGCAAATGGTTATGAAATTTCGAATTTTGTTCCGCGCCCTTATTTAAGACCTAGTTCTCCAGTTGTGTTTTCTCTCTCACTCTCTCTCTCTCTCTCTCTCTCTCTCTCTCTCTCTCTCTCTCTCTCTCTCTCTCTCTTTCTCCCTCGTTAGGATTGTTTTGTCTCAATGACCACCTAAAATAGGTCGAAATCTCGGTCTTAACTGAAATTGTTTTTTCATCTACTTGTCTATCCGAGATCCAAATTGTGCTACAACAAAGAGTAAACTACAGATCTGCCCAATGCCGTGGAGACTCGCCCATTGTTTAAAATAATTGTATGTATTAAGATCGTTTTCAAGATGTTTTTCCCAGGAACATGCAACAAAAACTGAACATAAAATTAATTTCGATGATGTTAAGATTCTAGGTAAAGAAAAGAATGATGCCAAGCTAATAAACTAGAAAATATCTATATAAATTTAGACGACAATAATATTAACGTGTTTGTGATCTGGTTTCTGGTGAGGTAGAGGAAGAAGTAGACTCTGTGATCACTTACCAAGCTTTCGGCCTTTATAAGACCATCATCAGGGCCTGAATAAATATTACATTACATTATTTCTTTAATTTAATTAAGGTTTTTGGTTTGTTTTAACTTACAGCACCCTATTTCTTATATTAACATTACAGAACGTCGAAAAAACGCGACGACATCGACTACGAGGTCTCGAAGTACATGAGGTTGGTTAAGTAAGTCTTAATAAGTAATAATAATAATCAGTTGGTTTGTTTTCATCTTTGTTTTGTTTGCCCAAAATACGTTCCGAACAATAATAATACTTAAATCTTATTAGGTTTCGTGGTCCGATTGGCCAAATAAATTCTTTTCAATTGATCTTTAATTAAGGTTTTGGTTGAGATAAAAAGTCACTGTCACGAACGGGATTCGAACCCACGATCTTCGGCTAAACACGCCTCTGCTTTAGCACTTGAGCTATCGTGACTTCGATCCACTCGGACATTAACTAACCAACTCAACCCCAGCTCTCGAATTTTCCCTCCTTCTTTGCCATTTTTCAAATGTCGTGTAATCTATTTGATTCTCGGCGACAAATGAAATGGCCACGGAGAACTTTCTTGAAGATATACTTCATTTTATTTATTAAATTCAATAGCAGCGAAGCTTGACCAGCATGATTGGAAAACAACCTAACTACGAAAAAACGTCAATGAAAAAAAGTTATTGGGCAAGTGAGTGAGAATGTGCGTGTGAGTGTGAGGTTGTGTGGCTGTTTGCATAAGCAAGATTGAGTGTGTGTGTGAGAGAGAGTATTGCCATATTAGGGGTATTCACGATGTTTGTTAGATGTTAACTCGTGTTAACTCGAATAGAGAAATGTCCAGTAGTTCGTGAATGCCCCATTCTTTTCTTAGCATCTTAAACGCTAATTTTTCCGCAATTCTGCGCGTGGGGTTTGGTAGAACCAAAAATAAAGCTATAACAGTCCTTGATGGCTTGTTGTAGTTTGCTCTTTTTCTTTCTTCTTCTAATTCTTTTCAATTAATTAATCTTTAAGTTAGGTCTTGGTTGAGATAAAAATGGCAAAAAGGAGGAAAAATTCATAAGGCGGGGTTGAGGTGGGATTCATCACTCAACCTTTTGTCAGTGAATTTTGCTGTTTTCGCGGCATTTGGTGTCAGCCAAATGGTACGACCTCCTGTGGTTACAGGTTGCATTTTTCGTATCGTTTGACCATCCGGTTAAAAATGTCTCTACTTTTTGGTCGTGAAAGCAATGAAAGGCAATTTAGATGCTGAAACACGTTACCGTCGGTCAATTTATGAGAAATTTGCATGGTTAATTTGATATACTCAGCTTCTACGCCTTCTTAAATCGATGTAAGCTAAAACGAATTCTTTCTCCGCTTCAACTCTGTGGTGAATTGCTAACATATTTGACTCGAATAATCATAATAATAACCTATAGAATATAGTGAAAGAATACGTCATAACTCAATAAGACTAACCACCATAATGGTACAACACATAAGAAACTTCGATTTTATGCGTTTCTAAAATTGAAACCAGGCACGTGTCTGTTTAAGCATTTTAACCATTTAATTATGTTTTATTTAAAATTTTATGGAAAAAATTGTTCTTAACTGTAACTTTGTAATTTTTACTATGTAGACTGAAGTGGGGAGGCTGGTGCCCCTGAAATAGATATCGCTTTAATAAAATGATATGTGGAAATGATGGTGTGTTCCTAGAAAAAAAAACGAAAAAAAAACGAACAACCACGAAGGAAGAAGAGCAGAATAAATATTGTACATACTATTTGACAGGTAATGCTTTTGAATGTATTTATTAGCGCGAATGAGGTTGGGACCTCAGTTCACTATAGAGCCTGTACTGTATTGGTAGTATGAATGTGTATTTTTATATCATCATATATGGAAGGCCTAAATCGTTTTAGTAGCCAGTTGATACAATTTAGGGGGAAATAATTTTTTAATGTCAATGAGGTACTAATTTTTGTACTAAACCTATAATTAGCGTACATTTTCTCCTGACTTTGCTGCGTATTTCTGATTTTTGGTAAATCTTATTTTTGGCAATACGCAATACACTAAACGATAAAGTTACAATTCGAATGTAAAAAAAGCCTTTAAAGTTTAAAATAAAGATGTTGCAGTGTTAGAAAACTATAATTTCAATAGAAAATTGAATTGTTTCCTTAAAATGATGTTAGATTAACCCTTACACCGTTGGAATCATAATTCCATCGTGTTACACTCATTAAACTGAGTTTTAGTCGTATTTTGTGAAACATGTTTATCTCCTTGATGGTTCTTTAATGAAGATGACGTGCTTTAATCGTCTTAGATTACATCGTACAATTATAAGGTAGATGTATAAAAGGGCACCCACCGAAAAATAGAGAAAACGAATGTATTTTTTTCCCTCCTATATGATTTTTTATAATAGTAACAATATTCCCGTACTTACATAACTGCATCATTAGATAATCCATTGTCGCTGCTCCTCGTAGATCAGCAAACAGACGAAAAATGGATTCACAAGGCACATACTCGGATTAGGAGGTTCAAAAACATTTAAGACAAATATTTATACGATTTTTATGTATTTTTTACGTTTTCTCATCAGATTTTATTGCCGGTCAAAATATCAGATGTCTTTCAGCCAGTCGAAGCGAAATAAACATGTGCTTAGTTCCAGTGGTGGAATCAAAATTTTCGTATCATACAAAATGTGACAACACGAGTTGAAAAGAAATAGTCTAAACGAAACCAACTTTATTGTAATTGGATTAATTATGCTGTTGTTAGACATTGTGCACTTCGGTCGGTATCAATATTTTCAGCCTGAAAAAGAAAGAGGGTTCAGTGAAAGAAGGAGAAAAAGATGGGGTGCAGGTACCTCGTAGTATTGGCTAGTCTACCACGTCGACTGATGTCATAGTGCATTGTTTCTTCGGCCTTTGGTACTTTTCGGTTTGGACGCAGGAGTCGATCTTAGGCTTTCTGACAGGGGGATCGAATTCTCCCCTGAAGAAAGAGTAGCCGACGCCTTCCTGAGGGGCGTTTCTCCTGTTCTGCGGGGAGGCGCCACGACGTACGTCCGAGAGCGATCGGTTCTTCCTCGGCGAGCCGCCGATCATCACGTCGCTCGGCGAAAGAGGAGGAATGCTGCCGAGCGACTGGACGGAAACCGAGACGTCGACTTGTTCCGTTTTCAAGGCGCTCTTTTCGCTCGGTTCGACTTGCGAGCAGGAGACGTCCGTCTTTTCGCCCTTCACTTCGACCACGGCCGTTTGCACTATGACCTCGGGCGCTGCAGCAGGCTTTTCTGAGCTTTCTTCCGCCTCGGGCTCGGTCTGCGTCTCGTTCGTCGACTCCGACTGGCTCGATGACGTGGTGGACGTCGTCGACGTGTCGGACAGCTTCTCGGTCTGCGTCGAACTCATCGCCGCCAGGGACTCGGTTTCTGCCAATTGGGTCACACTATCCTCGACGGTCACCGAATCTCCTGCTTCCAAGTTTTCCTTCCTCGTCGGAGATTCTGAAAGAAACGAAAGTTGAACCGGCGAACAGTCTAGGACTTAAGGAAAAGTGGCATACGCGAGGATTGGCGAACCGAAGCTGAACGGTCTCCGTGTTGAAGGATGTTCATCTTCGCCGGCGCTGCGTGAGGCAAGATATCCGATATTGAACGCTCACACACAACAGGGGGGCATTCCGACTTTATCTCTAAACAATAAAAATCTCCTTTTTTAAATTTAATCGATCTTTACTGCGAATAATTTAGTAAACCTTTGGCCCCTAAGTATCAGTCGGGTGATGTCTATACACTATAGACATGCAATTTGTAGTGAATTAATTTTCATAGATGTTAAAAGAACTAGTTATTTGATAAGTCTTTGAATTGGCAGAGTAGATGATATTCGGATGTTATTGATATTTTTGGCTAAAAATGGCTAGAAGCCAAAACAGCGGTAGACCAAACTGAATTTTTGTGAGAACCTGAGGGTTGTGGAGTGATGAACCTGTATTTCAGTCATTCCGATTGTCTTGGTCTATCCTAGCTGTTTTGGTATAACAGTCTAGTTTCGGGTTCTAGCTATCTTCGGGGTGTGTCTGTCCGAACCTACGACACCCTACTTTCTCCTCGCTACTTCGCTATGCTGCTAATTTCGACCTTTGTAGCTAGATCATTGACCAAAACTGATCACTTACGATCAAACTGCAGGTTCATCACCCCGCAAGTCACATGAAAAAATTTAGCAGGATATATTTTACCAATAAGCTCCGTTACGACCGGAGGTGGCTTCCTGAAGAATCTGTGACCGACGCCATCGCGCATGTTCGTTCTCAGCTGTTCCCCCTGCAAGTAGTCGCAAATGGAAATAGAACCGGCGGTCGAGGAATCAAGAAAAGACTCAGCCGACGGGTCTCTTTCATTGTGGTGCACATTCATAACAGCAGTTGTTTTGTGGATGTGTATCAAAGAAGACTCATTTCTTCCAGCTTCTGAAACACAGACAGATAAACACAGGTTCTTCCTTTACCAGGTTTAATACCAACCTAAACTCGTTTTCTGTAAAAATTGCTCAATTCTGTTTATGGACGGCTTGGGTATTTCGTTCGGGACACCGGTGATCTCGATACTCGAGGTCATCGGAGTCCTGCTGAGGCAGCATTTTTCAGACATTTCCGTTTTCCCTTCTTCTTCCCTGGAATGTTCTTGTTTGAAATCAGGCGGCGACTGCTGGACGTGCTGCGTTATGAACGATAACGTCGGGAGGCTCGCTAAAAGCAACATCCTCATAAGTGATTCGGACAGTTTGTGATTAACCAGAGACTTACAGGATAGACAAGTAGTACTGTCACCGTCCGTATTCTGCTGTTGTCCGGAAACGTACAGTTTACTCTGTGAAAACTTTTTCGCCCTGACTGAGGGCAGAAGTACTGGTCTCACTGGTTCCACTTCTTTCGGAAACCTCTCTTCCATTCTGCCAGAGGAAGTCCTTTTCGAAGAAACTTTTGCTTTGAGAAACAAAAATATGGTATGAATTTTTGAAGATAAAAGAACAAATTAATTTTTTGCTATAGTAGATCAACAGTCGATGCTATCTTTCGCTACTATTCTATCACTGCAGGAACGCTGTGAAAGGATACCTACTTTTTCTCACGGAAATTTCAGACGTAACTTTCCTCGATCCGCTGTACATGAATTTCTCCGTGTCCAAACCCGAAAGACTGATGGACCTTAGGGTATTCAATGTATCCACGCCTGACACGACTGTCGAAGAATGCTCAGGTTGAAGTTGGATAATCCCCCTCGGGTTCTTTAGTTTGGGCGCTTTCTTTCCAGGCGAGTTCATCCTCGTTTTAACTAAAAATTATAAGGATTACTTATTATTAAGGTTGAACTGTGGGTTTGCTTACCGTCGCTCAATTTACGAGTGGTCTTAGTGTGTGAGGTTTTGAGTATCGAGGGTAATGGAGATTTCAGTATGGAGTGAATGGGTTCCGCAGGTGGGAACGAATATTCTATCAATGGATTGTTTATAAACTTGGAATCGCCTATGAACGATTTTTGTGAGCTGGATGTATAACTAGAGTAAGGTTTTAACGACGAAGCCATATTACGTACGAACGGGGACGAAGGTGGAGAACAACGGAAGACTTGTTTCTCCTGTTTGCTCTTTGAAGGATTGGAATTTTTAGATTCTTTAGGGGACATCGATTTTTTCGTGGAACAGTTCCAAGGAAGGGGCAAGGAAGAAATCGAAGAAAGAGACGTGGAGGAAGTGCTAGAGGATAAATACTCGTTTAGGTTTTTATTCAATTCGGGGCAGAAATTACAAGTATTTCGATCGAATATACTAGGCAAGGGAGTAAACTTTTTCGGCAGACGGATTTGGTCGTTCAGAGCATTCTGGCTCTGATATATCTGTTCCAAAATCGGATCAGGAATTTGCACAGGGTAAGTGAAAAGATTGCGCTTTTTCGTTTGTGAGCTTTGGAAGTCGCCGTTCGTCGTTTTAGAAAGCGGACAGAGGGGTTGCCTTTTCCCTGGCATTAACGGTGGCGGAGTTTCAGTTTGCATGGAAGAACTCGTTTTCGTCGCTATCGATTCCAAAAATTTGACATGAGAGCTAGGTTTCCTCAACGGCGGTAGGCTCTGCCTTATCGGATGCTTGCTCTTGGGTTTCTTTAACGATATCTGCACGATAGCCTCTTCTATTTTTTTCTTGAGTTCGTTTAGGGAATTTTCTTTCTGTACCATTTCCATATTGCAATTAGACGTAGACGATTTATAGGCGCTTGAACAGTAACAAGTAGGAGTGGAAAACGACGATTCGGATTTTTTCTTAGTTAACTCCGGAAGGGATGAAATAGGGGAGAGCATGTCGGGATCACCGACGGTCGAAGTCGGACAAACTGCGTACGTCATGGATATAGAAGAGAGCGTGTTGATCCTCTTGCAGTAGCAGTCAGGCGTTAGACAGTCGTCGGTGTTGCTTAAAACTTCTTTGCTCTTCTCCGGCGTGCTTGTCAAAGACGGGAAAGATGTCGCGAGCTCACTGTCCACGGAATATTGCCCTTTGGTAAAAGAGCTAGAGTTGTCGTTCGTTTTGGGAAACTTGGTCTCGTGGAGGGCGGTGAAAGTGTTCAGAGGTTTTTTATCTTGGATAAAATCAGTTTTCCAAGTGAGAAAATTTGGGTAGTCTGTGTTTTGTGAAGCAGACTTAGGCTTGTCATTAGTCAAATACTTTCCGAACGCTCTGTCCATCTTGGCGCTCGGTGGAGGAAGGAGGACAGGCGTCAGCAAATCGTTTATAGCGTCGCACTCTTTAAGAATGCTTTTAAAACTGTTTTCAAAATGTTTTGTGTCTTTTTCATCTGCGTCGGACAAGTCAGAAAACTCGAATTTCTTTTTGAAGGTTTTCTGCGTCGACGCGAGAAGATGGTCGAACTGTTTGAAACGGTTAGATATGTTCGCTTTTGATGTTGCTTGCCTGTCTCTGCTGTACAAGTTGCCAAGTTCCCTGTTCCCAGTTCGGGACGTGTACAGATCATCATACAAACGTTTTGGAAAGACTCGTCTCATGTCATCTTTTCTGTTGACGACGTCTTGAGAGAAATCAATCGCCGGAGGCTTCTCGAAACTCTGTTGTACGTTCAAATGCGTTGGTTTACTTTTTGCATTTTTTGGCGACAGAGATTGTCTTTCCCTTTTTTCGTTAGTCGTCCCTTTTTGCATTTCTTTATTCCTTATCGGAGGCCGGAATTGGCTTATGGGTTTCAGCGGTTCGAGTTTTTTTTTCTGGAGAGAACTCGTTTTATGCGTTACAACATGCTTGGGAAAACAGCCTTTGAGCCTGTCGGCGTTCCGCTCCAGGAGGGATTTTATGCTGTGGGTAATCTTAAGACAGTTGGGAGTTTCCAAATACCTCGATTGAACAGTTCTTAATTTGGGATTTTTTTTGGGCGGTGTCGGCGGTGTCTCCGGCGGTGTCGGTTTCGGCTTCTTCGGCTCGAGGTACCTAGGCTGAATATGCTTAAATTTCCTCTTGTGGGTATTTTTGATCGTGAAGCTCTCAGCCGGCGCCAACGGCTCGAAACGTTTGGAACTTACCCATTCGGGCCGGTTTTTAATAACATCAGAACTACTCCTTTTGGGGCCTTGGTTACTATGCCTATTAAATTTGTTAGCGGTTTTTGCGTTTCGACTGTCTGCTGTTTCCCTCCGATCGCTTGGTATCACCGTGTTGGGCTTTTTCCTTGTGACCTGTCTCCTCGGCCTTTGAATTTTTTCAGAGCTTTCTTCGAAATCCGAAGATTTTCTCCTTTTGTAAGGGAAGCCGGCTCGCGGGTTGTTGCGTTTATTCCAAGGGATTTTGCTCTTCGGTTTCGCACCCCCGGAGGAGACGTCAGTCTCTTCTTTGTTCCTATACGATTTAGCCTTCGGCTTTGGTTTTTTCTTTTCAAAATCCGATAAGAATTTGTTATTGTAGCTTTTCCTCGAGCGTCCACTTTTGTGGCTTTTGTTGGTTTTTTGGCTTTTTATTATACTGTTGTCTTCTTCGAAATCCGACTCGTAATCTCTGTCCGTGTCGCTCGGCTCTCTGCTACAACCAACGTAGTACGTTTTCGCAGTTTTCGGTTGTTGCGGCGGCGTTTTGGGGGTCACCTCTCTCGGAGATACGACTTCGGTGAAGCTCGTCGTTTTCGGTCTATCTCGCGAAAAACCTCGAGTCCTCTTGTAGCCGGCGGACTTAGGCCTGGATACTTCGCATCTCCTCGGCTCGAAAACTTCCGCTTCCGGTGACGACGTTTTAACGCTCCTGTCTTTGCTGCATCTTCTAGGAGATATTGTTCTGTTCAGTTTAGTGACCGTCCTCCCTCTCCTGGGAGAAATAGCCTGGCGTGTGTGTTTCATCGTTTCCTTTCTCGTGTGGAGAAAATCCCAAGAGAGTGGAAGCTGTTCTACGTAATCATCGCTCATAGCGCGTCTCGGTTCGATCTCGCTCCGTGATTCGATCTCCGAAACGGCTTCCACCGATTTTTCTTTCTTGGGAGTGTACAACGTGGTGCCAATCGTGTGCTCTTTCGGCGACTTGACAGGTTCGGCTTCTAGTTTGTCATTGCCGGTCAAAAACTCGTTCTCCATCATAGCTATTTTCTGGGCTTTTCTCCGGGCGTCTATGCGTTGTCGCAGTCTTTCCACTAACGTCAACCTTCTGGTGCTGGTTTTGGGAGTGGGTTCGTTGTCTGGGTTGAAATTCATCTTGGGCTTGTTCTTCCTCGGAATGTCTTTACTCCTCGCCGTCTGGTCCCTGATGACTGCCGGTACGATGTCGGGGGGTGGTTTTTTACTCGTGGGTTGGTATTTGTACTTAGAACCTTTGGCGAATCTCTTGACTAGACCCAACGTGTTCTCGAACTTACTGTCTTCGGTCCTTCTAGGCTCCTCTTTCTTCTGCTTTTTCTCAGAAGGACGGTCGATGTTCATCCACGGCTTGCTTTTGCTCACCGGCGGGCCTGTCTTACTGAGATGGGGCAATTTAACGGGTTGGACCAGCTCAGATTCAATGGGGTACTTCTTCTCCAAAGGGATTTTTGAATTTGTGGAATGTCTGTTATAAAGCGAAGGTAACAAGATAGGCTTAACCATTTCTATTTCCTGGGGATATCTTTTTTCTAACGGTAGGCCATTGTGATTCGAAAATGGTACCATTTTTGCTCATCTCATCACAAAAGAGCCTTAAATTTATGTATATTTTTTGTTTTTGAATTTAGGGAAATTACAAACGCACTTGTAAATTTTGAATTTTAAACACAAATATAACTCATATGCTAAAATGTGAGCTTTGAGAAATAATTGTCGCCACAACGACATTTTCCCCGTCCATGTCGGGCTCATGACGGTCCACAAGTGGCGTAAATTAGATCTTAAATCGATTTTTCAAAAACAAAGGAAATATATTATTTAATATAAATAATCACATAAAGGGGTTTCCAGAAACGGACACCTGATCTAATCAATCATAATGACACGGCAGCGTGAGAAGCATGTGATTATGGGAACCTTTTTTCAATAAAACTTTAGTCAAACCCAAAATAATTGTTCTAAACAGGAGGTGGTTTCTATGTGGTATTAAATTTCAATTCTACTCGTGATATTACTTCTTTCAGTGAGAGTCGCCAGAAGTTTATCCGTCTCCGAAGCAGTTCTGCCGTACTGGCCCCATTCGTCTACAAAAGCGTCGCTCTTTTCAGTCGACGACAGGTTCGTCGTGTCTTTCGACCCGGAAGACTTTAGTATTGCTTGCTGAGTGTAGTCCAAAAGCGACTGGGGGACGTTGTGCTTCGTCTGCACCCAGTAGGCGTTCGTCACTAGAAACAAATCACAATAAAAAACGTATATTTTCAAAATATAAAAAGACGTACTGGTATTAGTTGGAATATAGTTTTTCAAAGACCAGGACAGCTCATCTAAAGTATTTAACGAGGTTTCTAAAGGACCATCGGCAGATAGATCTGTAAATGTTTTCAGGTTAACGTTATGGAACAAATTAAAAAAAAGGAGCGTATTTTACTAGTTTCAAAAATATTGGAGCTCGCTGTCGTCTTCGACAAGTCACCCATCGCCTTTAGCTTAGTTTCAGTAACCCTTTTTCCATTTTTTATCTTTCCTCGCTTTGAGATTTTTTTCTGTTTTGACTTGATTGGGGTGGGTACTTCTTTGACAGCGTTGTTAATGGCTTGGGCGTCGTCCTTTCCGACATGAGCCGCTTCAGTCTTCCCAGGTGCCATTTGTCCCTGATGCTGCTTCACCTTTTCGACGAAGTGTTCTTTCTTGCCCGTTGTATCTTCACTGACTGCAAATAATGAATAAAACAAAATACGTTGATCAAAAAACTTTTTTTCTGAGAAAAATCTAAAACAGCATTATACAAAATAATACTAGCTGTGCTAATATTCATGAGATTTAAGTAGTATGAAGTGAGCTCACCGTATGATGTTTCAGTAGGAGTTGTCATTGAATGACCATCGAAATCGGTGACTTTACTGCTGGACTTTTCGTTCGTATCAACAGTTTCAGCGAGGTTCTTTTCCGTCGAAGGCAAACTGCAACCATCGCTCTGTTTCTCCAAATTGTCCAACGCCTTGTCTAACCCTTTCGCTATGAGTATTTTATCTGGAAAAAATGAAAACAAAAGTATATTAGAGGAGGGTTTGACTTGTGGGCTGGAAAGCATACCCATGTCGGTCTTAGGCTGCTGGGTGATCGTAGGCTGACGCATCTGGATCGTCACGACCGTCCCCGAGGTATCGGGCTTTTTGCAGACATTGGGCTGTGAGTGTCTATGATGTTTGGCTTTGTCGTTTGAGTTGTTCAAGTATTCGCTGAAAAGCCTGTTTTGCTGTTTTCGGTAGCGCAGCTCTTCTGTCAATGCTTCTGGAAAAAACTTACGGCCCAGTCGCTGCCATTCTGCAAAAGTTAACGATAAAGTACGGGCTGCTTTATGCTTTATGGTCTGCTAGTCAATGAACATGTACAACTGATCCACTAGGTCACGTTAATCTGATCAGTTCTACAAATAATAAAGAACGATTTTAAGTTGTATACCAAATGAAACTTACTATGTAGGAGAGACTCGTCTGTAGCTTTTTCTGCCTGTTTCTGAAAGAGTACATTCAGTCCTTCCCTTCTTCCAAGAGACTTGGGATCTGGAAAAAAAGATAAACAATACTGAGTGGTTTTTAATTAGATAGCTTTTATTTACCTTGTGATTTTAACAGTTCATCCTGTGTCTTTGAATTGTGAGTGATCGACATGAACTTGTTGAAATTTCTCCTGCAATCCTCATCCCTCTTCGACCTATCCTTTTTAAGGTCTTCCAACAGAGTTTTCCTAGAGGCTGTTTTTTATTTGTTTTAAGTTAAAAAGCTCAAATTTCGTCGATAACCTGTTGAATACCGTAAGTCGTCTTTTCGTACGAAAATCTCCTGCTTGAAGGCCTGGAAGGAACTTCCTTAGTCCTAATGGAGTCGTCGGAGCTTTCGATCATTGAAAGATAACCCTTTCCTTGCTTTTTGATCCTTTCGAACGGAAGTCGAGGCAGCTTCATTGATTTTACTACAAAGTGATTTTTAGAAATGAAATTGATAAAACGGACTTGAATATTTACATTCGATGTGCTTAGGGGACGCCAGCCTGGGTTGCTCCTGTTCCTTCTTTATTTCCTCAGTAAGTCTGGTAGACGGTCTCAAATCGTCAATGTTGACGCCTCCAACGCCTAAACGGTCCTCTGTCACCTTGATCGGAATTTTTTTCTCCTTTGTTTTCTCTTCTATCACTAAAGAACGTCAGCAATTTAAAATTTCACTGGATATTTACCAACAAACACTCACGTTTCGACGGTTTGACAGTGACGGTTTCTACGACGACTTGTCTGTTTGTACGTTCGTACGGGCTGTCCTTATAAGGAAGGATGGTCTTTTTAAGGTTCGGTTTTATGAAATACTCTTCCGGAAGCAAACGTTTAAACCAGGAGATATCATCTTTCATATGCTCTGCAAAATTTCAAATTCAGAGGTTTTACGTCGAAAGATTGTGTTTTTTAATTTCTCACCGCGTTTTCCGAAGTCTTTCAACACAATTTTATGTTCCGTCCTCTTATACGTTTTATTTTCTATTAAATAAATATATGGTTTTACAATTAAAATTTCAAAATTGTCAATGAAAAAAGTGAATCTCATTACGCATTTCGACGACTACTGGATTGACCGTAAAATTTGTCTTCGTTGGAGCCACGACATCGGTCTTCTTATGCAACAATTCTGACACCCTATTAGCTAAAATACAAAAAAATACTTTCAATGAGAAAAACCAAATAGAAGTTGTATATCGTACCTAGTCGAGGTTCTAAAGAATTGGGCATCGGTGTGGGAAGCCTTGTATTTTTGGTCGTCACTTCGCTTTCATGACCTACGACATTCTTATCGCCCGATTGTGCAAAGTTATACAGACTTTGTTTCCTTCCTTAAAAAAAGAAGATTAAAACATAAAATAAACCCGCAATTTAAATTCACAACACGCCCATCCTTCGGACGTAATTGCCGGCTTATATTAAAAAAGAGAGAAAATAAAACGAACATACAGCCTTTCTTGACATGACAATCATTAAAATCTATCTACATATACAAAAAAGATTTGCATAAGTCACTAACAGAAAATTCAAAGTTAAAATCTCTACTAACACAAGTCATGATATTAAGACATAAAAATATATTTTTGTTGAATAAAACTGTTTCAATACAGAATTCGCCGAAATATTTCGACTCGCTCTCCTTATTCCCTGATTTGCAGCGATTTTTAATACAAGAGATGGCATTAAAACATAATGATACTTTCTTGCCGAATAAAACTGTTTCAATACGAGGAATTCGATATTATATCTCGACTCGTCCTCCTCTCTGATGTTCTGCGATCTGAATTTATAATTTCAGTCCCATTCAATGATGCATCATTAAAACACTGATCTTTTTAAAACTATATCGTAACATTAATTTTAATGATTTTTCGGAGATCGTGACATGCGGTCTGGTGTGACGTAGGTTTTAGAAAAACATTTTCTTTATCGTGCCAACGTTTCGATCTTTATTGAGATCATCTTCAGGGACTGGGATTTATAAACATTGTTTAAATTTTACAAATACATGTAGTATGTGAAAAGAAGATTTAAAAAAATAATTGAAAAAATGAATTTATACAATGCTACAAAATTTTAGATTAAAAAAAGAATGAATTTATATAATGCTAGAAAATTTTAGATTAAAAAAATAAATAAATAAAATGAATTTATACAATACTAGAAAATTTTAGATTACAAAAATAAATAAATAAAATGAATTTATACAATGATAGATAATTAATGTTTAAAACTAAAATTTTCTATCATTGTATACATTCATTTTTTTTAATCTAAAATTTTCTAGCATTGTATAAATTCATCTTTTTCGCATCCTACATATATTTGTGAAATTTAAACAATGTTTATAAATCCCAGGCCCTGAAGATGATCTCAATAAAGATCGAAACGTTGGCACGATAAAGAAAATGTTTTTCTAAAACCTACGTCACACCAGACCGATTTATAATGAAAGAAAAAAGGAAAACAATCACAGTTGAATGTCATAGAAAAATATAATTTTGATGCGTAGTAGAGACTAACTTCAACGGAAACTATAGACGTACAATAGTGAAGAAAAAGGTCAAATTACAGACACACAGTAGTAAAAAGAACAAATTAATATAGAGACACATAGCAGTGAAAAATTATACAGGATTATAAAGAAACGTGATAGGAAAAAACAACAAACGAAAAATAATAAAGCAACGCAATAAAGAAGAAAATGAACAAGTAAAAGGCAAAATGAAATATAGTAATGTAGAAGGAAGGAACAAGAAAGAATAATATAAAATAATGATTAAGAAAACTTATTGTACAATAAAGATAAGGACAAGAAAAATATTTTTAAAAAACACAAAATAATAATTAAGTAATGCCCTTCTTGGCCTGATAATTATTAAAACATATCTACATATAATTCAACTTATAAATATAATTTGCTCAAGCAATTAAACAAACGAATCAAATTTAAACCAATACCAACCCGAGGTACAATAAAGATAATTTAACAAGAAAAGACTCACCGAAAAATAAACATTTAGCAAAGCATGGCCAATTTAGTTAATAAATTATTATTCAAGACGTATTAAAAAGGGAAATTAACTTCTTGGCAGATGGTGCCTATAAATGAGACTCATTAAAATTTATGTTTTGGCGAAA